TGAAAAGGACTTGGCAAAATTAATCAGGCAGGAGGTGCTCCACATGTGTATGCTCTCACCACCCACACCTGCCCGCCTATCTGCTCTCACAGCTGGCCAGAGATGAGCTGGAGGCAAGGGATCGTTAGATTGGGGAGAGGCTGGTGACACAGAGGTGGACAAGCTGCTCCTCTTCACCTGGGGATGGAACCCAGGTTTCTGGACCACGCTACAGACCTGCCAGGCCCAGGAGCTACAACTTTAACGAGCTCCCGTGATCATTTTTGCAACCACCAGAGCGTGGAGATCCCATGGCTCGGTAGTTTACAGGGCTTGCCTTGTCAATTTCCTTGAACCATCCCCACCCCTACAACTGAGGTTCCAGAGCCTGATGCTGCTGCCACTGGCTGCCACCCAGACACTTGCTCCTGACAGCTTCCAAATGAGTCAGTTCTCCAGTGCTGTGGCCAGCTTGCTAGTTCTAGAGCCCCTCTTTCTCCCAGCTGAAGGGCAGAGACCTAAGCAGACAGCCTCGGATGGGCCTTGTGTCTGCAGATACTGGCTGCCTAATAAATGAGTGATGAAGCGGTTCTGACCCCACCTGCTCCTCTGCAGCCTTGATGGAGAAAGTCACTCCTGGGCAGCTGCTGAAGCCTCCTTAACAAGGGGGTGGGCTGGAGAGGCCCTGAGCCCATAAAAGGAGAGGACAGCAGGGAGCTCCAGGGTCACCTGAGGCTGCCGTGCTGGGTGAGGGTGGTCAGCTTGGTGGGCAGTGCTATGGCCTTCCAGGGCATCATCCACCTGTCCCTGGACAGCCCTGAACATGTCATTTGTGTACTGGGCACAGAAATCTGCTTGGATCTCAGTAGGTGAGCAGCGTAGGGCACTGCCAGGGCTGGCTAGGGGCAGGGGGAAGCAGGTCCGAGTAGGGAGATTGGCGCCTGGCTCCCCTCCTGGGGCCGCCCCTGGTTTGTGTAGGGGTCTGGGGTTCCCTCCCTTCTCTGCATCTTACCTCGTCATCCTGCCTTAGCTCTAGGAGCCTCATCTGGGTGTCTGAGGGCCTTCTAGTCCTGATGCTGCAGGATTCAGATCTAAATCCTGCCTCTGCCCCTTACAGGCTGTGGGGCCTCAGAAACAAGTGCCCTGCCCTCTCTTGGTCCTCTTACCAGTGAAATGGGGGTGAGGCTGGGTCTCAAGGGAGACCCCCCTGTATGTTGGAGACTCAGCGGGGAGGCGCTGCACTCACAAGAGACCAGGTCTTCCCTAGGGTCACAGGACAGACCTCGTGGTCCTGGGCCGTGTTTTTTCCCCTACAGCGATCCCTCGTGGCTTTTCCTCATGGGGAGTTGAGAGTTTATAAATAAGGCATAACTTTGGTGATTTCTAGAGCATTAGTGGGAAGGTAAGGCTAGAGCTCATTGGAGGGAGGATAAGGGGGGTGTGGGGGGTCCTCGGAGTGGGGGATGGTAGGAGTAAAGCTGAAGTCGTGTTAGGACCCCAAAACGGCCCTGACCTTAAACCAGGGTGCCTCAACACCTTGAGGAGAGAATGGAGAGCCACCCCCACCATGCCAGCTGCACCCTAGGCTGAGAAGATAAGTCTCTCACGCCCTTATCTCTGTCTCCGTGTTGGGCAAACCAGGTGTGCCCCGCACAAGTGCGAGTCCTTCACCGTCAGTGGCTCTCCGGGGGTCTTGGTTGATATCCGCAATGCAGTCCCGGTGACGACCAGCGAGGACCCTGCCACGACCCGGTGGTCCCTGTCCGATCCCATGGATGTGCTGGTCAAGATGACGTCCCCCAGCCCTGCCACCGACGGGGACAAGGTAGGCCCGGAGTGGGAGGCGCTAACTCAGCTCGTGGGCTCTGAGTCTATGAAATTCGGTGCCAAGTGTTTCGCACGTCTGAGACTTTCTAATGGTTGCAACCAACCCGTGGGGTGGGCGGCACTCCATGTCCCCATTTTAGATGAAGACACCGAGGCACTGAGAGAAAGTGCCCTGTCCAGGCCAGTAATCGGCATGCAAGCTCAAGCATGTCCACCTCCTCTGACCGTCACGCTGGGCTGGCTTCCAAAGCAGCTGCTTTTAAAGTCAGGCTTTTAAAAGGTTTTGGCAGAACTCAAATGGGCTTTTTGGCTCAGGCTGGTCTTCTGCCTGTGGCAATCCTCATGAAACTTAAGAGCTAATGTGTATTAAATACGTGCTATGTTCTGGTACTTTGTCACATTTCAAGAGGTTGGCTTTGCCCTGTTTTACATGAGGCGCAGTGTGACCTAAGCGTAACTAGAGTGGATTTAAGCCTAAGTCTGTGCCCTTTCTCCTGGG